GGGCCCCAAACACCACTCCCAACTTACAACTGCAGAGCTGCTCCTGGCAGCAAAGTCTGATATCAATTTTCTCCTTATCTGAACTACCTGTTCGAAGATTTCCTGAAAAACGATACCATACAGATAGATACCTACGGTCGAAACTCTTGCATGGGAGTTGCATGATGAGCCGGTGCACATCCTGCTGCGGAGCGGTGGGCGGCCAGCCATTTCGGCCGCCAGATCTCATGGTCAAGGCTACTGATTAGCACGGCCACAGGAGCTTGGTAGGGCTGCCAATGATTCATAAGCCGCATGCCTACGTGAAGTAAAGAACAGGAATGCCTACATACGAAGATTCTTGCCACTGAGAGCCAAGAAGGCCCGGCGGCTGCCCCTGCAGCAGGTTCGTGAAACATGTGGCGTACTCGTGCCAGAAATCATGGAGCCATGCAGCTTTCTTTTTTCCAGCAGGCGCTTCATCCGGCTGAAGAAGCCCGTCGGTGAGACTTCAAAAACAACGCCAAGCTCTTCAACGAGCCGGCAAAATGTGCCTGGTCTCAACGATGCCGCCGATGAGGTAGTCCTCGTCCCTCTCCACCCGGGTCAGAGCGACGTAGGCGGCAGCGGGACACCCTGGGCGATCGAGCCACAGCGTCACATGAGGAAGTGTCGCCCCTGGTACTTGTACCCATCCCAGCGTAGCCAAGGCGAACTGGGTAGTAGATGCAGCGGCCGTGGGGGACTGCGTCATCGGTGTACCGGTGGATGCTGAGGCGGCGGTTGGTGACGGTGCGGACCACGATGCAGCCGGCCCTCGCGTCGAAGTCCTCAACCGTGGCGACCATGCCGTTCACGAAATGCTCCGGCTTGTTGAGATTGCGCGTCAGAACCACGCGCGCGCCACGGTAGAGGACGAGCTGGGCGGCAAGCGGGGCGCGGGTCTCGATGAGCCTGCCCCGGACGTCATAGTTCTCAGGGTTCTCGTCGTACTCGATTGGGACCTGCCCCAAGATTCGCTGACCATTCCGCTCGAACAGCACCTCCGTCGCCAGCGTGTTCAGTAAGGCCGCCCCGCGGCGAGTGCACGTGACGAAGGTGGTCTCACCGTTCGTGCGCTCCATGTCCGTGGGCTCGTGGTGCCCAGTCCAGGCCTTGTGGTCGCGGCAGAGCAGAGCCACCAGCTGCTTGCCAGCCTGCCCCATAGGCTTGTGCGAGCGGATGGCCGCCTGGCACAAGGCACTTGCACTTCTTGACTTCCTGGAACTCGATCTTGAGCACGTCCTTCCAGGCCCAGCGCAAGTCGGGCGCCTCCCCGTCAACGGTCGGCAGCTGCCACGGATCCCCGAGTAACAGCAGGCAAACGGCGCGCCCGGCAGCGTTGAACATCTCCCAGACTCGGTCAAAGTGCTCGCAGGTCAACTGGAAAACCTCGTCGACGACCACAAAGTCATATTCGGTCAGGGCAGCGACGGCTTCAGCGCGAGGACGGCGCAGCCAGAAAGCACTGTGGCACGTGTCCATCTGGATTTCTGGATGACGGACGCGCATCCGCGCTGCAAGCTGCCCGGTGGGAAGGGCATACAGCACTCTCGCCCCCTTGGCCACTGCCTCTTCGACCGTCTTGCCGGTGCCTGGTGGGCCAAGGCCGGCAAGGATCCTGCCGTTGCTCTCAAAGTCGGACATGAGCGTTTCTGCTTCCTCCTCCGTCTCAGCAGCTCGCAGCTGCAACACAAGATCGACGTTGGTCATCACATGCTGACGGAGCGTAGTCTGCAGTAGAGTAGAGTCCAGGGTCTACGCGCTCCGCGCGCGTCTTCGAGTGATATGGCCCCGCTGAGGTAGCGGTCCACTAGGCTGGCCTGGGCTCGCAGCATGGACAGCACGTTCTCGATGTAGACGTTCCCTCGAGCAGCTGCAAGCAGAAGGTCCTCGCGGATGCGCTGCTCGTCCTGCCAGTACGGGGCAAAGAGCTCGCGCGCAGGCGAAGAACTTGTAGCGGCCCGGCACCTTCTCTAAGATCTCCGGAACCAGCAGATCCTCCGCCCTGCGAAACGGCCTGTTGAGCATCAGCCACTGGCCAAAGAACTTGTCCGAAAAGGGTGAGACCAGCTCCTCAGCGATGATCTTCTCGCCGGCCATCGGGCAGTTGCGCCGCGCGTGCGTGATGTCGCCCGTTCTATTGGACTTCCGGAGAAATTCCAGCAGGCTCATGTCGTCCCCGCGCCACGGCGAGCTCTCAGACAGGGCCACGCAGTCTGGCTTCCGCGGCATGTCGGGCCAAGGGGCCACCAGCGGTTGCACCGTGCCTCCTGCACCGAAAGGCGGAAGCATCTGCGTGGCCAGGTGAGCCACATTTCAGGTTCGCCAGGGTGGTAGCAGGACAGAATGCGGAGGGCCATGCCGTAGCCGGTGCTCCCCTCGTCCGCAAGCCACTCCGTCGCAAAGCTGTCGCTGAACTTGGGCGCATAGGTGGCGACGTAGCGCATAAGGAGCCCGCGCCCATCCGCTCCCGTGCGCGGGAAGAGGTTGTCAACGTGGCACTTGAGGACCTCCACCTCTGCCTCCTGGTAGGCCCGAATGCCCATGGCCTCATCGCGCTCCCTGCGGCGCAACCGCACCGTGCCTGCGGCCTTGTCGAAGACGGACGGCTCCTCACGCACTTCCAAGCCGCTTCCGGTGCGACTCGCCTGCCCGTCGAGGACGTACCCTCGAAGAGGGTGATCACGCGGCGGCACCTCGGCCTTCATGGTCCTCTCCAGGTTCAAACATTCGGCGTCGGTGCCGAAGAAGATGGCGTGAAGATGAACGGCTTCACGACCATGATACTGTTGAGTGGCCTCTTTGCGCTTGCCGTCTTGATATTCCAAGCGGAAGCGGAAGTTTTGGATGCCCGGCGTGCCATCTGCGGCCATCCCAGACAGTAGCTGTCCGTCCGTCCAGCGGGCGCTGGCCGCGCCGTGCTTCATTGCGCCTCCGGCCGCCCACTCCCGACAGAGCTCAGTTGGGCAAGACGCAGCTCGTACGGGGCCCAAGTCTTGAAGACCAGCGGCCGCAGGCCCTGGCGTTGAAGGTCGAGAAGAGCTGCGTGACGAACAGCCCAGCAGGACGGCACGAAGGGACAACCCTTGAGGAGGATGCGCATCGGCGCGTCCTGGCGCACATTCCGCTTGCCACCGAGGTCCGACCAGACAGAGAGGTCAAACACGAACTGCAGGAGCTCGTAATCGGCAGCATAATCCAGGACGGGCCCCAGCACCCTGAGCAGGAAGCTCCGCTTCAGGCTGTGTCGCCCAACGGGTGCCGCCGCACGAACGTGCCGTACGCGGAGCGCTCGTGCTGCATGAGGAAGTCGTACGCCTCCAGGGCCTTCGTTCTCTCTGCATCGCGCTCCAACGCCCGGATCTTGTCGGCGACAGAGTTGCCGGACCAGCTGAAGCGGATCACGCTGGTGTGTATGCGGTAGCCTTGGAGAGCTCGTTGCACCGGCCCACAGTCCACGTCCAGGGGTCGCAGGGCCTTCACGACGCGGGCGTTGAGCTTGCGGAGCGCCCGAGAAACTGCAACAACGGTGGCGACGCCGCTGTTGCGCCCGCCGGCAGCTTTGCAGGCTCTGCAGTCACGCGACGCGTGATGAGGACCCGCAAGTCGGCGCGCGTCGATGTTCTTCGTGCGCCGGGGCTGCACGGAATGGCAAGTAGGGCAGGTGGTCCAGGAACCCCACTTGCACCACTTCTCCACCATGGCGGCATTGTTGGTCAGGTGGGCGGCAGGCAGGCCCGTGTGGTTGGAAGCCGCATCGCGAACATGTGCTTGGACACTTGGCGTCAGGCGATGTCGCCAGAGATGGTCTGAATGTGGAGTTCGACGGTGCTTCTCGGGGAAGAACTTGAGGCGCACGCGGGTGCGGTCCTTCTCAACTTTCTTGCGATAACTCCGGCGCTCCTCGCGCGAAGCCCTGAGGCGCTTGCGCTTCTTCAAGCAGGCTCGCCACTGATCTTGGACAGACAACTCGGGCGCCTCCACCAGGCGCTCGATTTCCTCCACCTGCGGGGACACCTCACCAATGCGGGCTAAAGCCAAATCGAATACGTCCTGGTCCAAGGCATGGAGTGCTCGAAGCTGCCGATAGCTGGCCCTTCCAGGCCTGCTTGCCAAGGCTCTCCTCGACAAGCTCCAGATCGCAGAAGCGACAGAAGACTGCGTCCCTTCGCCTGCGCCCGCTGCCTGGCCCGGCTCGTTGAAAAGACACACCGCTCCCCATTGTGGCCGAGGCATAAGCGTGGCATGGGCTTATCAGGTATGGTGCTTGACGACTGGAGAATCTGCTGCGCAAAGCAAGGAGCAAGTTCCATCTGTTCATGCTTGTGAAGCAGCCCCCCCCATACGTCCCACGCGTGGGGTTCCCCCCCAGACGTCCGGGCCCCCCCCGACACCTGTCTGGGGGGTGTTTGGCTTGCGTGGGGGGACCCCTCAGACACCCCGGACATCCCCCGGACAGGCAGAACGAAACTTTTCTGGCCATGAGTGAGCGGCTTCGGTGATTTTTGCTTCTAAACGATGGATTTCGACGAAATGGCAAAGTACTGCGGCCGGTTTTGGGTTCATTTTTCAAAACAATTATTAGTGGAGCGATAGTTCTCCTACAAAACCTCCTGCGTTCGGTAACGGTTTTGGTTTTGGGACGGTTGGGTTTTCACTTCGGGAAGTGGTGTCTGCGCAGGAGGTTTTGGACGAAACACCAAAATCCAAATTTATGCTTCCCGGCTGCAAGTCTGCGCATCGAAGTTTTTCATTTTGGTAAGCCCTGGTCTCATAATCATCTAAGAATTTAGAAATTCCGAATCCCCAAATCGGGTTAGCTTGGAAAAATGGACTTTGTCTATAAGAATGGGTCGGTGGCCTGATTAGACTCTTGCTAGACATCCGTGCAGCATTTAAACTCCCGGGAGGTCGACAGCCATAAGATCCACCGAATTCTACTTGTTCCGCACAGCTATCTGAGGCACAGAAATCCAGGCGGACGCATCTCCGCTGCTGGCTGCTTCGGCAACTTTTAGACATGTTTTCAAGTTTCACGCTTGGCAAGGTGGTGGAGAGGCCTGGAGAGCAAAAAAGTGGGCGACCGTGGAAGGCTGTGGATGCGCAGGTCTGCACGTGTCCTTGCATGTGCCTTTTGCCTGCCTCCGGACGTCTGGGGGGGGGCCCCTGAACCCTAAATCCTAAATCCTTAAATCCTAAAGCCTAAACCCTAAATCCTAAATCCTAAATCCTAAACCCTAAATCCTAAATCCTAAATCCTAAATCCTAATTCCTAGGTCCTGAAGGTTGCGATGGGCTAGGGTTTAGGGTTCTTAATATATA